GCAGTGATAGAGGCAGTGGTAGAGGCAGTGGTAGAGGCAGTGATAGAGGCAGTGGTTGAGGCAGTGGTGAGGCAGTGGTAGAGGCAGTGGGTGAGACAGTGGTAGAGGCAGTGGTAGAGGCAGTGATAGAGGCAGTGGTTGAGGCAGTGGGTGAGGCAGTGGTAGAGGCAGTGGGTGAGGCAGTGGTAGAGGCAGTGGTAGAGGCAGTGGTAGAGGCAGTGTAGAGGCAGGGGGTGAGGCAGTGGTAGAGGCAGTGGTAGAGCAGTGGTAGAGGCATGGTAGAGGCAGTGGTAGGGGCAGTGGTAGAGGCAGTGGTGAGGCAGTGGTAGAGGCAGTGGTAGGGGCAGTGGTTGAGGCAGTGGAGAGGCAGTGGTTGAGGCAGTGGTTGAGGCAGTGGTAGAGGCAGTGGTAGAGGCAGTGGTAGAGGCAGTGGTAGAGGCAGTGGTTGAGGCAGTGGGTGAGGCAGTGGTAGAGGCAGTGGTAGAGGCAGTGGTAGAGGCGTGGTTGAGGCAATGTAGAGCAGTGGTGAGGCAGTGGTAGAGGCAGTGGTAGAGGCAGTGGTAGAGGCAGTGGTAGAGGCAGTGGTAAGGCAGTGGTTGAGGCAGTGGTAGAGGCAGTGGTAGAGGCAGTGGGTGAGGCAGTGGTAGAGGCAGTGGTAGAGGCAGTGGTTGAGGCAGTGGTAGAGGCAGTGGTAGAGGCAGTGGTAGAGGCAGTGGTAGAGGCAGTGGTAGAGGCAGTGGTTGAGGCAGTGGTAGAGGCAGTGGTTGAGCAGTGGTAGAGGCAGTGGTTGAGGCAGTGGTAGAGGCAGTGGTAGAGGCAGTGGTAGAGGCAGTGGTAGAGGCAGTGGTGAGGCATGGTAAGGCAGTGGTAGAGGCAGTGGTAGAGGCAGTGGTAGAGGCAGTGGTAGAGGCAGTGGTTGAGGCAGTGGTAGAGGCAGTGGTTGAGGCAGTGGTAGAGGCAGTGGTAGAGGCAGTGGTAGAGGTAGTGGTGAAGGCAGTGGTAGAGCAGTGGTAGAGGCAGTGGTTGAGGCAGTGGTAGAGGCAGTGGTAGAGGCAGTGGTAGAGGCAGTGGGTGAGGCAGTGGTAGAGGCAGTGGGTGAGGCAGTGGTAGAGGCAGTGGTAGAGGCAGTGGTAGAGGCAGTGGTAGAGGCAGTGATAGAGGCAGTGGTAGAGGCAGTGGTAGAGGCAGTGGTAGAGGCAGTGATAGAGGCAGTGGTAGAGGCAGTGGTAGAGGCAGTGATAGAGGCAGTGGTAGAGGCAGTGGTAGAGGCAGTGGTAGAGGCAGTGGTAGAGGCAGTGGGTGAGGCAGTGGTAGAGGCAGTGGTAGAGGCAGTGGGTGAGGCAGTGGTAGAGGCAGTGGTTGAGGCAGTGGTAGAGGCAGTGGTTGAGGCAGTGGTTGAGGCAGTGGTAGAGGCAGTGGTAGAGGCAGTGGTAGAAGCAGTGGTAGAGGCAGTGGTTGAGGCAGTGGGTGAGGCAGTGGTAGAGGCAGTGGTAGAGGCAGTGGTAGAGGCAGTGGTTGAGGCAGTGGTAGAGGCAGTGGGTGAGGCAGTGGTAGAGGCAGTGGTAGAGGCAGTGGTAGAGGCAGTGGTTGAGGCAGTGGTAGAGGCAGTGGGTGAGGCAGGGGTAGAGGCAGTGGTAGAGGCAGTGGTTGAGGCAGTGGTAGAGGCAGTGGTAGAGGCAGTGGTAGAGCAGTGGTTGAGGCAGTGGTAGAGGCAGTGGTTGAGGCAGTGGTAGAGGCAGTGGTAGAGGCAGTGGTAGAGGCAGTGGGTGAGGCAGTGGTAGAGGCAGTGGTAGAGGCAGTGGTAGAGGCAGTGGTAAGAGGCAGTGGTAAGGCAGTGGTTGAGCAGTGGTAGAGGCAGGGGTTGAGGCAGGGGTAGAGGCAGTGGTAGAGGCAGTGGTAGAGGTAGTGGTTAGAGGCAGTGGTAGAGGCAGTGGTTGAGGCAGTGGTAGAGGCAGTGGTAGAGGCAGTGGTAGAGGCAGTGGTAGAGGCAGTGGTAGAGGCAGTGGGTGAGGCAGTGGGTGAGGCAGTGGTAGAGGCAGTGGTGAGGCAGGGGGTAGAGGCAGTTGATAGAGGCAGTGGTAGAGGCAGTGGTAGAGGCAGTGGTAGAGGCAGTGATAGAGGCAGTGATAGAGGCAGTGGTAGAGGCAGTGGTAGAGGCAGTGATAGAGGCAGTGGTAGAGGCAGTGGTAGAGGCAGTGGTAGAGGCAGTGATAGAGGCAGTGGTAGAGGCAGTGATAGAGGCAGTGATAGAGGCAGTGGTAGGGGCAGTGATAGAGGCAGTGGTAGAGGCAGTGATAGAGGCAGTGATAGAGGCAGTGGTAGAGGCAGTGGTAGAGGCAGTGGTAGTGGCAGTGATAGAGGCAGTGGGTGAGGCAGTGATAGAGGCAGTGGTAGAGGCAGTGGTAGAGGCAGTGATAGAGGCAGTGGTAGAGGCAGTGGTAGAGGCAGTGATAGAGGCAGTGGTAGAGGCAGTGATAGAGGCAGTGGTAGAGGCAGTGGTAGAGGCAGTGGTAGAGGCAGTGGGTGAGGCAGTGGTAGAGGCAGTGGTTGAGGCAGTGGTAGAGGCAGTGGTTGGGCAGTGGTAGAGGCAGCAGTTGAGGCAGCAGTTAAAGGCAGTGGTAGAGGCAGTGGTAGAGGCAGTGGTAGAGGCAGTGGTTGAGGCAGTGGTAGAGGCAGTGGTAGAGGCAGTGGTTGAGGCAGTGGTAGAGGCAGTGGTAGAGGCAGTGGTTGAGGCAGTGGTAGAGGCAGCAGTTGAGGCAGTGGTAGAGGCAGTGATAGAGGCAGTGATAGAGGCAGTGGTAGAGGCAGTGGTAGAGGCAGTGGTAGAGGCAGTGGTTGAGGCAGTGGTAGAGGCAGCAGTTGAGGCAGGGGTAGAGGCAGTGTAGAGGCAGTGATAGAGGCAGTGATAGAGGCAGTGGTAGAGGCAGTGGTAGAGGCAGTGATAGAGGCAGTGGTAGAGGCAGTGGTAGAGGCAGTGGTAGAGGCAGTGATATTTACTAACATATATGTTATAAATAATAATAGTACATTTTGAATAACATTTATTATTATTATTATAAATGTTATTAATATTAACATGTACTATTATTATTTATAACATATATGTTAGTAAATACCACTGCCTCACCCACTGCCTCTACCACTGCCTCTACCACTGCCTCTACCACTGCCTCACCCACTGCCTCTACCACTGCCTCTATCACTGCCTCACCCACTGCCTCTACCACTGCCTCTACCACTGCCTCACCCACTGCCTCTACCACTGCCTCACCCACTGCCTCTACCACTGCCTCTACCACTGCCTCTACCACTGCCTCTACCACTGCCTCTATCACTGCCTCACCCACTGCCTCTACCACTGCCTCTGCCACTGCCTCTACCACTGCCTCACCCACTGCCTCTACCACTGCCTCTACCACTGCCTCACCCACTGCCTCTATCACTGCCTCTATCACTGCCTCTACCACTGCCTCTACCACTGCCTCACCCACTGCCTCTACCACTGCCTCTACCACTGCCTCACCCACTGCCTCTACCACTGCCTCTACCACTGCCTCTACCACTGCCTCACCCACTGCCTCTACCACTGCCTCTACCACTGCCTCTACCACTGCCTCTACCACTGCCTCTACCACTGCCTCAACCACTGCCTCAACCACTCCAGTCACACTCAATCTACAAGCACCAAATACAATGAATTATTGTGAAATGTTTGGAAGAGCACGGAGACTAATACTCACTCCAGCATAAACAAAGTCACACTGACGATGAGTCAACCACTTCCTCCACCACTGCTTCAACCCTCGTATTTTTGTACAATTTCCTTCTTCAGTTCTATCGTATTTATTATTATTAATTTAATATTATTATTATTATTATTAGCAGTAGCAGAAATGTTTGATTCTTTTGCTGTGTTCAAGAGTAAACACATGATGTCACCTTCCAATACCTGTCCAAATAGCCATTCCAATATGCAGTCATAAATGGGTTGACATTATTTATACTGTAGTTTAATAGCAAATAATGAACAAACAAAACACTCACGACACAGTGGTGGAGGGCTGGCTGCCAGTTGTGGGGGTCGGAGGGGGGGTAGTAGGGACTTGCAGTGGTGGAGGCAGTGGTATTTAATAACATACAGTTGTTAAGGCATAACGTATGTATTTAGTACAATTTACGACGTTTTCATGTATTTTATGATTGTTCATGGTTCAACAAGTTAAGGAAGCAGTAAATTGTATTATATTTTCCTACAATATACATGTATTGAGGCACCAAACATTCACGGTTTTTCAACATTCGCGAGGCTCTTGATCCCCAACCCTCGTGAATGTTGAGGAGACCTGTACAGTCTACCCCCGCATAACAATTACCTCCGAATGTGACCAATTATGTAAGTTTTATTTATGTAAGTGCATTTGTACGTGTAAAGTTTTGGGGTCCGAAATGGACTAATCTACTTCACAATATTTCTTATGGGAACAAATTCGGTCAGTACGGGCACCTGAAAAATACTTCTGGAGTGAAAAAATATCGTTAACCGGGGGTCCACTGTATATACGTTTGGACCATTTACGGTTAAAATTCTGCATTGGAGTACAGTTACCTAAGTAACATAAATATTTCTGTTCCTTTTTTACTAGTTGTATGTTTCCTCTGAATATATTTCCTAGAAACAGTTTCATTTTGTGAATGAAATGCAAAGAATTTTGTTAGTTTTAAGGAATTAAATTATCTTGAAATATTTAAATTTAAACGTTTAAACAAAAGAAAATATGAAATGATAAACTTGATTTAGATCTTATCTATAGGATATGTACATAACTTTTATCATGATCTGTTAATTAGAATTGAGGCACTAACCCAGCTTTTTTACAAATTAACTTTATTTACTTTAGATGCATAGCCGCTTTAGGGGAGCTTGATCACTACTTTTGATTCATAGTCACTTTTGAAGTTCTTAATTACTAAGATATTAACCAATACTTCACAGGTGAAGATGCATTACGAGTGCAAAAGACAGTGATGAGAAGAGCTCACGAAGGCTATGAAGCTCGCTTGCTAACCCAAAACGGAAGTCCTCTTTACCAAACCCAAAAAAGTGTATTGCTATGTCACACCAAAACAGCTTATTATCAAAGAATTTCTTCTGCGACTTATTCCAAAACGAGTTTGTAACATTTCGCTTGTGCCCTTCGACAAAGTTTCATTTCACTGGTACCAACAACCAAAGCGGACTTCCAACAATGAGTATTGATGATGGTTGTCAACCTCTGGTGTCTCTTGCTGGTAAAGACAGAAATGTAATAGCTGCAACATTTACTCAGTTTATGCTTAAAAATATTGGTGGTTCAGAAACCTTTAAAGATAAGCAGGATCACTTTTACCATGAGGTGCGAAAGTTTCACAGCAAACGCATGCACGATAGAATACAGATAACTGTGACAAGAGAACGACTGTTAGAAACATCTATGAAAGCTACCAAAACTTTACAGTTGCAGACTGGTGTAAAAACTTTGAAATAACCTTCCAAGGCGAAGAAGGATTAGACTGGGGAGGAGTGAGACGTGAATGGTTTGAACTAATATGTGCCCAGTTATTTGATAACGACAAAGGACTTTTTGCTAGTTTACACGAAGGAAGACAAGCCTTAGTACATCCTGATCCATACAGGCCATCACATATGAAGCTTAAACACTATGAGTTTGCTGGAAGAGTTGTGGGAAAATGTTTATACGAATCTGCTCTTGGAAGTGGATACAGACAAACAGTAAGAGCAAGGTTTACTCGATCATTTTTGGCACAGCTAATAGGCCTTCGTGTACATTATAAGGTTTGTATCATTAAGCATTTTTTATAAATACTTTATCAACATTGTAACTATACCCTGAATGATGAATGTTACCATTCTCTCTCTCTAAAAATTTGAATATAATGCAGTTCTTCACCATTTTTTCTCCTCAGCACTTTGCTCAGGATGATCCAGAGTTGTATAGTGGCAAGGTCAGACATATTTTGGATTATGGATTGGATAAACTAGAAGATGAACTCTACTTCACCGATGAGATACTTCTTCCATCTGGACAAGTTAAAGTACGCTTGCACAATAATATTTCATTATCAATTTTATGAACAGTTTTTTTTATTTCTGATATTTAAGTACTGTTCTTTGACATTTTATTTTAAAATAAAGAACTACCTTTTTCTTTAAAGATTGTATAGCTAAAAGGTGGTCGGTGCTAGTTTCTATTACAGGAAAGGTGGTGTTGTGAACATTAGTTAAACCAGATAAAACTAAAACTTTTGAAGGTATAAACAAAGGACTTGTATATTACATAATTTGTTACTGCCATAGTAACAGTTTAGAAACTGGCGATACACTGTCTCAGGTTCTGTCTGATTTTGTTGAAATGTTTCATGTTTGCACCTTTTCAACACTTTATGGCAATATGTTATTTACAGTAAAACAATACACAAATAATCCACACATAGGAGAGATAAGCTTTTGATGTTTCGGCCCAACTTGGACCAAAAATGTGACTTATAAATAGTGCAAGTCAGGCCAAAACATCGTTATAAGCTTCTCTCCTATGTGCAGGTTATTTGTGTATTCTTCCAGTTACGGTAATGTGTGTGTGTTTATTCTTCTTTACATTAGAACACAGTTGCTTTTTTGAAGCTGGTTCAGATAATTGATATTTGGAATTCCTTCATGGGTTTTCAGTCAATACAGTGCCAGGTCTAACATTGATGGTATGTTGCCTCAACTTGCTCAAGTCACTTGTTTATTAGGTCAAGTTTTTAACATGCTGATGCATGAAATTTGTCATTATATTGAGGAATTTGGTCTCCCTCCCTCCCTCCTGGTCTGTCCAGTCTTATCTCTTTACATATAAAATCTTCAGTTAAAATAGTTTTAACATTTTTCAGTACTAAAATTTTAACATATGACGTTTGTGTTGCCAACTTCACAAACTATTTTCACCATAATAGAAAGCAAAATAGACACAAATGCAGTATAATGTGATCCTTTATTGACTACTTTTTGCCCACACAGTGGGCTTGTGACTTGATAAAGCCCACTATGTTGGGGAAATGTAGTCAGTAAAGGGTCACATTATGCAGCCTTGTCAACTGGTATTTTATACTATTTACAATAAAAGGCCACATATTAGGGTTTGATTAAAATTCTGGTATGTGTAAGGGACAAACAGGAATGTGCCAGTGAATAACAGCTTTCTGCCTCATTCCTCTTAACATGCATAATATTATTCTGTTGTATGTAGGTGCCTTATCCAAATCTTTCCAGAAAATATAACGCTGTTTGGTTAACAGGAAGTATGGTAATTAGTAAGCAGTAGTTTCTGGTCCAGAATCTTTCTTTTTCACATAAGTATTGTAAAAGAAAAACACAATGCACGAAAATATCCTATCTTTTTAAAATACAGTGGACCCCCGGTTTACGATCAGCTCCCAGTGCGACCAATTATGTAAGTGCGTTTGTATGTGTATGTTTGGGGGTCTGAAATGGACTAATCTACTTCACAATATTCCTTATGGGAACAAATTCGATCAGTAATGGCACCTGAACATACTTCTGGAATGAAATAATATCGTAAACCGGGGGTCCACTGTAGTAGTAAAACTCGCCTATGCAGTATTAGCATATATACATTATATGAAATAGTTATTTTTTTCCTTCATGTGTTTATGCATTGGCTCTCTCTGGACTAAGATCCACAAAGGCTCTGCAAATGATCCAATAAATTTACAAGTTAATCCTTAGGATCACGTTCTGTATAATTGAAGGGCACAAATAAATTTAGTTACGAATAATAATAAAATGTTATCCATAGCTGACATCCTAAATTTCAGTGTAATCAGATAATATAAATTTCAGTGTAAGCTAATTTAAACCCTTAATATAAATTTTACTTTTATTAATTTAAAAAAATTATTTACAGGTGATTGAATTAGAGCCTGGAGGAGCACTCGATTAGTGACCAATAATAATAAACTGCAATACTTGGATGCTCTTGCCCAGTACCGACTCTCTGTGCGGGTACGACATGAAGTAGACGCTTTCTTATCGGGACTCAATGAAATCATCCCAGATAACCTCCTCTGTATCTTTGATGAAAATGAGCTAGAGGTTAGTAATTCATTTACTTACGTAGATATGCATCAGAAGAAGTAAACTTAATAATTAAAATGCATTTTTTTTAACACACTGACTGTGTATCATGAAGGCAGGGTGCCCCAAAAAAGAAGAAACACTTTCACCATCACTCCGTCACTGTCTTGCCAGAGGGCACTGATACTACATTTCAAAACTGCAGATACTCCCACCCCTTCTTAAGATGCAGGCACTCATCTTGTCTTTTTTATTTTTATTTTTATTTATTATCACACTGGCCGATTCCCACCAAGGCAGGGTGGCCCAAAAAAAAAAAACTTTCACCATCATTCACTCCATCACTGTCTTGCCAGAAGGGTGCTTTACACTACAGTTTTTAAACCGCAACATTAACACCCCTCCTTCAGAGTGCAGGCACCCTGAAGAATTCACACAGACTGAGGATAAATCTGCCATGACTTGTTAATGGTCTGTGACAGACTAGAACAACAACATTAGACTTGACTGTATCTCCAACTTGTGGGTTAGTGTCACTTGCTCCAGTCATGAAATTGACTTTTTCTCCCTGTGACTGACTCTAAAAGTTCATTTGAAACAGCCTCACCTAAGGCTGGCATTATATAATTTAATATTTAGCTGTTAAATGCTCTTCATAACAATGTTCATTCTCTTCAAAATTTAGAAGATACATAATCATATATGTGGAGGAGAGGAGAGGGAACAAGCGGCTCACTGTCAGTTGTATCTACCATAATCTGTTTCAGTTATACAACATTTAATAAGATTAATATTTGTCTAATTTATAAAACATTTGCCTGAGAAACATCTGCAACGTTAGTTCTTTGTTATGATCCAGAAAATCTTTAATCATTTTTTTGCATTTTTGAACCACATCATGTTTAATAATCGAAGCTATTTTCTTACATATAATCCAGTATGTATTAATATTATTATTATTATTATGGGGAGGTGCTAAACCTGTAGGGATTATATGACTCGTGGTGGGGGGGATGGAAGGTATTCAGGTTTAATTCAGGTAACTGGAGCACAGATCTAATTCCCTAGATCAAGTACATCTCACCAGCATCAAGGAACCTCCCTTGAGGGGATTAATATAATACGTAGAATAATAAATATACTGCAGAATAAGCATAATAGTGAAGGTATATATACGTGTGTATATTTCAATGTAGATAAACAGATTACTCCATCCATATTTTGCAGATTAAATATGTCTGTCTAGAGGTATACAGGTGATACGCCTCTAAACTTATTTGCAGTAGGTTTTAATACAGTGCTTATTATTTACCAAATGTGGATTAATGTACAGGAAAGCCAAATGAGAAGACAAATATATATTTTTCAGTTGAGAGGCATTTACTGCATTACTTTTTTTATTACATGTTCTATTTTACTTTTTTTTTTATAGCTTTTAATGTGTGGGATTGAAGAGTACAGTATTGCTGACTTCAAAGCTAATCATGTGGTTAATGGTTCATCTCCTGAGTTCCGAAGAGTTCTCTATTGGTTCTGGACAGCTTTTTTCTAACTTTACTGGTATGTTATTGTCTCACATATTTCTTTTGTCACTGACAGCTTCAAATATTGCTGCATTGGTAGGAAACTGTCAGTTTTTAGTACTACTATGGGAGGAATAAAATTGTGGAAATAGGTCTACAATTGGACTATAATATGCTTGTCAGGGTAGTTCTCACTCTTAAACTGATTTGCCACCAAGATTTAAGTCAGTGCACATATTACAATAAAAGTTAATCCAACAGACATAATTTTCCCTAAAGTAACTGCAATTTCTGACCTATGAGACATTTTCCTCGTGTATAATTAGAACCTTTCTCTTGGTTTATAAAAAAAGTTCTTTTACTGAGTTTTATACCATTGTGGCTATTAGAGATAGAATTAAAAGTAACTACTTTGTATCATATTAACTTTTAACCTTAATTAACTGATTGACTTATTATTGCATTCATGGGAACATTAAATTTGTATGGGTCATACTGCAGCAGGGAATAGGGGGCAGATTCTGGGTATCTTTATTGTAGACGTTTCACCATCTATGGCTTTATCAGTACAAATTCAAGACATAATTGGAAGACAGTAGAACTATACAAAAGATGAGGTAACCAGTCCATCAACCTTGGAGTTGAAGAGTACCAATTCCAAAGTTGAGGACTGATTACCTCATCTTTTGTATATAGTTCTACTGTCTTCTAAATTTTTTTTAACACACTAGCAATCTCCCACCGAGGCAGAGTGACCCAAAAAGAAAGAAAAATACTTTCATCGTCATGCAACACTTCATCACCATCACTCATGCATAATCACGGTCCTTTGCAGAGGCGCTCAGATGCGACAGTTTAGACGTCCCTCCAAACTGCCAATATCCCAAACCCCTTCTTTAAAGCGCAGGCAATTGTACTTTCCATTTCCAGGACTCAAGTCCGGCTAAGCGGTTTGCCTGAATCCCTTCAACAAAATATTATCCTGCTCAAATTCCCAACAGCTCATCGGGTCCCAAAAACCATTTGTCTCCATTCACTCCTATATAACACTTTCATGCATTCTTACTGGAAGTCCAAGCCCCTCGCCAGCAAAACCTCGTTTGCCCCCTCCCTCCAACCTTTTCGAGGACGACCCCTACCCCGCCTTCCTTTCCCTACACAATTTATATGCTCTCCCGTCATTCTACTTTGTTCCATTCATTCTAAATTACCAAACCACCTCAACAACCTCTCTTCAGCCCTCTGACTAATACTTTTAGTAACTTCACACCTCCTCCTAATTTCCACACTCCAATTCTCTGCATAATATTTACACCACACGTTGCCCTTAGACATTTATTATCTTGAATTTGTATTGATAAAGCCACTGATGGCAAAACGTCTACAGTAAAGATACCCAGATGTTACGCATGTGTCTAATTCTGTAATTAAATGAGGTTGTTACAAACTTTGTCAGATATTGTACTATTTTTTTTTTAGAATACAAGCAAAGATAAACTAATTTAAGTTGTATTTAAATTAGTATTTATTTATGATTAAACACTTGATTTTTATGTATAGTGGCATGAGCCCAGTGAAGGAAATGCATGTTATGTGTTCTGCAGAAGAGGAGATGGCTCGGTTACTTCAGTTTGCCACAGGTTGTTCCCGGCTTCCCCCCTGGTGGCTTTGCTCAGCTGTCGCCACATTCCAAATCTCAGCAGCTCATACATATGGTGTCTTACCAACAGCTCACACTTGGTAAGTTATAAAGAATAGGTCACTGTTGAGTAGATGGAACATTGACAACTGAATCAAAATTGAAAGTAAAATGTACACTATGTTACTATTTGTCCTGATAATGGGTCACCACTTGATAATAGTTCAAGGCAAGTCAAAATATCCTCTAGCTTTCATTTCCATTTGTAGGTTGTATGTTGTGTATCTTATACGTATATTCTTCTAAACTCTTGTATTCTGAACACCTTTGCAAAAACAGTGATAATGTGTGAGTGTGGTGAAAGTGTTGAATGATGATGAAAGTATTTTCTTTTTGGGGATTTTCTTTCTTTTTGGGTCACCCTGCCTCGGTGGGAGACGGCCGACTTGTTGAAAAAAAAAAAAAAGTTATGAATGGTAAGGTATAAATGTAGCATCGTTTATGTTTAATATAACTGTTATACAGTAGTCACAATTTTAATGTAATATAAACCCTGAAATTTTTGTTAACTTCATTACCTTACTCTTTCCTATTAAAAGTAAATGTAAAAGAGCAAGGTGATGAGGGTAACAATGAAGTGTAGGCAATGATAGCTCAAATTTCAGATTGGAAGAAGGGATATGGAGGAAGAGGATGTATTAAGGCAATTTGGAGTAAAATATGTCAGCAGATGGTCTGTGAAAGATCAAGTGAGCCAGAGATTAGATTGAGGGAAAAAAGTACGAGTACCATCCGACTTACGACCAAGTTTGGGCTCTGACCAACCGGTCATAAGTCAAAATGGATGCAAGTCGAACCTTAGAAAATTGCCGACATACTGGGTGGGGCATAATGTAAAAATTTGCTATGTAAAGTACCTACATAGTATTGTATGTTAACTTTTTCCCAAAATATTTTACAGCTGTATATCAACTTCACACTTATTGTAATGACTTTATTTTTTTGCTTTATTTTTGTAAAGTCTAAGTACAAGTGGTTGTGTGTCGGATGGAAACTGTGGGGGGGTGAGTCGAGTTCTCTCTGGAAAGTTTATGGAGACAAAAAGGGAATGTGCTGGATTTTTAATGGTGCCAGCTCTTTTAATGTGGGTATGGCTTATTCATTCCAAATTTATTACAGTTTCATGATACTAAGAGGGGAAATTTTGGGCCACAAAGCACATTAAGTATAATTTAACCCAGGATGACTCAGTAAAATCAAACATGGTGACTTATCTCCAAGTTTTTAAGAGTATTACACTCTAAACAATTGTAATATAAAATATTCCTTTAACATAGTAATAGAAGACCAAATAGTAAAAATATAGAATAAAAAAACAATTAAAACCGTTATATTTCAAGTGGAGCATTGTCCGAACTAAGCTTTTTCCCACATTTGAAGTGCTAAAAGATCTTTAAACAAACCCCTAATATCATAAAAATTAGTGTACATAGTGTTAAGCAATTAAAAAATAGACATCTTGGTGTCAGTAAATTGTAAAATACGTACCGCAGGCTCATTTATGACGCTGTTGCCATGAGTGACGATTTATGATGAAAAATAATTTTTTTCATCAGTTCCACTCACTTTAGTCTTATTTGATTCGAAAAAATGCTATATTCTATAATTTTTTTTTTTTTTTTTTTTTTAATAATCTTAAACCCTCCCCCCCACCCCCTCCTTCCAAAACTGGGCCCTGTATTCCACCTTTTATTCACCTCAGATTTATACACCTTTGTCAGTCAGTCTTGCTTCATCCTTCCTAAAAAGACCAATCTGTCTGAGCCATTTCCTGTGCTCTCAGACTTATACCCTTCATACCACTACACTCTTGTTCATTAACCTAGTCTTTTGTAGGAGGCCGCCATCAGCAAAAATCAACCTTTTGCAGAATGGTGATACTCATTCACAACAATTTTTCATGTTTACAAATAGGATTCATGAAAAAAAAAATTCACCAAATGTAATGACTGTTGGTACATTTTTATGCATATTTGGTTGAAGATGTTTTTTTTTCAAAGTTCAGGGAAATTTTTGATAGCATTTCTTGAACTGGCTTATGCTATTACTGGCTTTGACATATGCAGGTATCTGTTTCAATTCCTTTATTGCTGTACAATAAAAGGGTTTGAAGCCTGGCCACTGACTGTGGGTACTGCAAAGTTGTGCTCTCTCCCCTTAGTACATGATTGCTTTGGTTCCCAGTCTTGATGTAATTGGCAGCAAGATTTCTGGACACTGTTTGCGAGTAGTCAAGGAATTTTGGGGGTTTTTTTCCTTTCTCCTGCTTAACCTCATCCCACCACACACCCAGTTATAATTAAAGTGCTAAACCATGAAAGGTTACCACACAACCAAACGGGCAATTTACCTGGTGTGACTTGTAAATGGCTAAAGTTGGACCAAAACTTTTTAAGCTTCTCTATCTCCTTTGTGCAGGTTATTTGTGGTATTGTGCCTTTTTTTTTTTTTAATTTACCTTTTTTTAAATTCATGAAACAACAGTTTTTGCGAGGGAGGCAGATGGCACTGTATTTAATTGCAATATTCTAATTAAATTCATATAACATGTATAAAAACACTTGATGGAGAAATTGCTTTACAATTAAATTATTATTAATAACACTGAATTTCTTCCGCAGCTTTAATCAACTCTGTCTACCAGACTACGACAGCTATGAGCAGTTCGAGAGGCATTCTTCTCGCTTTTAAGAAGGTTCTGAAGGCTTTGGAATGGTATAACTCGTGTATGTAAAAATTTTAAAAAAAAAAATTCTAAATACCAATACTGACATGTGTTGTACTGATCTTAGGGAAAATTATGAAAAAAGGGATGAGCTTTTAATCAAGAATTTATGATAATGTTGGAGAAGGGTTAAAAAAGACGACAGGGGCAGAGAAGAACTTCGTGATATTTTCCCCAGGTGAAATGTCGGGAGTTCCTCTCTGCCTTTTTGCCATATTTTACTTCCTAATTATTGAATATAATTTATACACGAAAGTCAATCAAACTTATGTGAAACAAGGTCTTTATTCGTGGTAATATGCTTAATTTTGTAATGACTCAAATGTACAATTTTGAAACTTATTGAAAAGGAAAATTAATTTGAATCTCTTAATTTAATTTCATGCCATTGATGTGGATTATATGTAAGGAGTGACATGCATCTGTTTAGTGGGGATATATTAAATATCTTGCCCTGAAATTATATTAAATAATTTACATTTTTTCCCTTCAAAGACTAGCTTTACCAGAGGTGATCAGTTATTACTCTTATTTATCTTTTTTAACCAGAATTGGGAAAGCACACTGAGTGTAGTATATATACTGATTAACTTTTAAAACCTAAT